GCAGTGTGTAGGAAAGAGATTCCTAGATGTGAGAAGTGTGCAGGAGGGCATGAGACAAAGGATTGTGTATTACCTACCAGTGAAAGAGGTTGTGTGTGTTAACTGTATGGGTACTCATGGTGCTGGAGATCAGAAGTGTGTGGTGAGAGAAAGGCAGGTTGAGGTTGCCAGGATCAGAGTAGTACAGAAGGTGACATATGCTGAGGCAGTGAAGAGAGTAGTAGATGCAGATAGGTCCAGGGCGATGAAGCCTAAGAGGATCCCTGTGAGTGGGCCGAGGACAATAGAGAGTGATAGGAATAAAATGTACTTCAGTATGGTTGAATTCTTAGTGGTTATCAACTGTACCGCAGAAATGGAACATAAATCACAGAAGATAGCTGTGGTGGTGGCAGCTGCCGAGAAGTACTTGGATGTACGACATTTTACTGCAGAAGAGTTACAAGCTGTGTTGAGCGATAGTGTCCCGTCCTCCCACAAAGTGTAATGAATTCTCACTCCAGAACAGTAGGGGGAAACACAGGGCTAGATACAGTAAGAAAGAGATGAATAGGGAGGCCATGACTAGCCTCACACTCCAGTACAGCACACGGTTGAGATCCACCCAATACAAATTTACAGAAAAAGAACTGAAAGGGTGCATACTGCCACCTGGTGTGTTGTTTGAACAGGTATAAAGTCAAGGTTGGTGATTTACTGCCATCTGCAGTTATGGACTGTTTGCTCACAAGTATAATTCATTGGCTGATCCCTACTGATGACCTGGATGGAATCCAGGTCATGTGATACTTCCTTAACCCATTGGAAGTCCCACCCAGTTGACTACTTAAAAATGGTGAAAGTCCTCTATGGTGCTTCCCATGCTAAAACAGGCTTTTGGGCACTAGAGTCCTCTATCTATCTCTACGAGCCTAACAGGGTAGAGGCATGCGACTGTGAACTGTGAGCTGGTTGGTCCGTTTGAATTAATTGGTTGCAGGTGTGACAGAGAACGCACCTTCACCTGTTTGCTACCAAATGGTGGTGCATGCATTGAATTTCCTTCTAGAGCAGAGGTTTGGAACTATTTTTCTTATTGGTCTACTAACTAATTTACTGCCTGGTAGGTCAAACCTCCAACCCACCAAAACAGGCTGAAATTCTAGGCGGTCTTTTCAAACAGCTTTTACACTAAAAGGGCAATATCATAATTTTCACAATTTCACAGTATTATTCCAACGCTTATAGTGTGGAAATATATACAGTTGAAGTCAGAAGTTTACATACACCTTAGCCAAATACATTTAAACTCAGTTTTTCACAATTCCTGACATTTAATCCTAGTAAAAGGGTCAGTTAAGATTACCACTTTATTTTAATAATGTGAAATGTCAGAAGAAATGTCAGCATTATTTATTTCAGCTTTTCTTTCATCACATTCCCAGTGGGTCAGAAGTTTACATACACTCAATTAGTATTTGGTAGCATTGCCTTTAAATTATTTATCTTGGGTCAAACGTTTCAGGTAGCCTTTCACAAGCTTCCCACAATAGGTTGGTTGAATTTTGGCCCATTCTTCCTGACAGAGCTGGTGTAACGGAGTCAGGTTTGTAGGCCTCCTTGCTCGCACACGCTTTTTCAGTTCTGCCCACACATTTTCTATAGGATTGAGGTCAGGGCTTTGTGATGGCCACTCCAATACATTGACTTTGTTGTCCTTAAGCCATTTTGCCACAACTTTGGAAGTATGCTTGGGGTCGTTGTCCATTTGGAAGACCCATTTGCGACCAAGCTTTAACTTCCTGACTGATGTCTTGAGATGTTGCTTCAATATATCCACATAATTTTCCTTCCTCATGATGCCATCTATTTTGTGAAGTGCACCAGTCCCTCCTGCAGCAAAGCACCCCCACAGCATGATGCTGCCACCCCCGTGCTTCACGGTTGGGATGGTGTTCTTCGGCTTGCAAGCCACCCCCTTTTTCCTCCAAACATACAGTGGGGAAAAAAAGTATTCAGCCACCAATTGTGCAAGTTCTCCCACTTAAAAAGATGAGAGAGGCCTGTAATTTTCATCATAGGTACACGTCAACTATGACAGACAAAATGAGATTTTTTTTCTCCAGAAAATCACATTGTAGGATTTTTAATGAATTTATTTGCAAATTATGGTGGAAAATAAGTATTTGGTCAATATCAAAAGTTTCTCAATACTTTGTTATATACCCTTTGTTGGCAATGACACAGGTCAAACGTTTTCTGTAAGTCTTCACAAGGTTTTCACACACTGTTACTGGTATTTTGGCCCATTCCTCCATGCAGATCTCCTCTAGAGCAGTGATGTTTTGGGGCTGTCGCTGGGCAACACAGACTTTCAACTCCCTCCAAAGATTTTCTATGGGGTTGAGATCTGGAGACTGGCTAGGCCACTCCAGGACCTTGAAATGCTTCTTATGAAGCCACTCCTTCGTTGCCCGGGCGGTGTGTTTGGGATCATTGTCATGCTGAAAGACCCAGCCACGTTTCATCTTCAATGCCCTTGCTGATGGAAGGAGGTTTTCACTCAAAATCTCACGATACATGGCCCCATTCATTCTTTCCTTTACACAGATCAGTCGTCCTGGTCCCTTTGCAGAAAAACAGCCCCAAAGCATGATGTTTCCACCCCCATGCTTCACAGTAGGTATGGTGTTCTTTGGATGCAACTCAGCATTCTTTGTCCTCCAAACACGATGAGTTGAGTTTTTACCAAAAAGTTCTATTTTAGTTTCATCTGAACATATGACATTCTCCCAATCCTCTTCTGGATCATCCAAATGCACTCTAGCAAACTTCAGACGGGCCTGGACATGTACTGGCTTAAGCAGGGGGACACGTCTGGCACTGCAGGATTTGAGTCCCTGGCGGCGTAGTGTGTTACTGATGGTAGGCTTTGTTACTTTGGTCCCAGCTCTCTGCAGGTCATTCACTAGGTCCCCCCGTGTGGTTCTGGGATTTTTGCTCACCGTTCTTGTGATCATTTTGACCCCACGGGGTGAGATCTTGTGTGGAGCCCCAGATCGAGGGAGATTATCAGTGGTCTTGTATGTCTTCCATTTCCTAATAATTGCTCCCACAGTTGATTTCTTCAAACCAAGCTGCTTACCTATTGCAGATTCAGTCTTCCCAGCCTGGTGCAGGTCTACAATTTTGTTTCTGGTGTCCTTTGACAGCTCTTTGGTCTTGGCCATAGTGGAGTTTGGAGTGTGACTGTTTGAGGTTGTGGACAGGTGTCTTTTATACTGATAACAAGTTCAAACAGGTGCCATTAATACAGGTAAAAAGTGGAGGACAGAGGAGCCTCTTAAAGAAGAAGTTACAGGTCTGTGAGAGCCAGATATCTTGCTTGTTTGTAGGTGACCAAATACTTATTTTCCACCATAATTTGCAAATAAATTCATTAAAAATCCTACAATGCGATTTTCTGGAAAAGAAAATCTCAATTTGTCTGTCATAGCGACAGCCCCAAAACATCACTGCTCTAGAGGAGATCTGCATGGAGGAATGGGCCAAAATACCAGCAACAGTGTGTGAAAACCTTGTGAAGACTTACAGAAAACATTTGACCTGTGTCATTGCCAACAAAGGGTATATAACAAAGTATTGAGAAACTTTTGTTATTGACCAAATACTTATTTTCCACCATAATTTGCAAAAAAATCATTAAAAATCCTACAATGTGATTTTCTGGATTATTTTTTCTCATTTTGTCTGTCATAGTTGACGTGTACCTATGATTAAAATTACAGGCCTCTCTCATCTTTTTAAGTGGGAGAACATGCACAATTGGTGGCTGACTAAATACTTTTTTTCCCCACTGTATATATTTAAAGGGAAAAATCAGTCTCAGCGTAATTCCGTTACCATGGAATTGCCCTTAGTGTGACATCTGGTCATCTCAGGCATGCATTTACACGACTGCTGTAATGACCTGCTAATGACTTTTTATGACAGGTTATGAGTTACAAGGGGAGATTGTGGATGGGCAGACTGATGGGCAACCAATTAGCGACTTACTGTGAAAACTGCATGGGAGGCTAGGTTAGGAGGTTTACACAGAAAGGAAGGAAAGCAAATTCACAGAAGGAACGAGTAGGCTTGCCCCTCTCAGGAAATTGAGGAGCTGATGCAGCAGATGTACACTACCATTCAAAAGTTTGGGGTCACTTAGAAATGTCCTTGTTTTCAAAAGAAAAGCCATTTTTTGTTCATTAAAATAACCTAAAATTGATTTGAAATACAGTGTATACATTGTTAATGTTGTAAATGGCTATTGTAGCTGGAAACTGCTGATTTTTAATGGAATATCAACATAGGCGTACAGAGGCCCATTATCAGCAACCATCTGTCCTGTGTTCCAATGGCACGTTGTGTTTGCTAATCCAAGTTTATCATTTTAAAAGGCTAATTGATCATTAGAAAACCATTCTGCAATTATGTTAGCACAGCTGAAAACTGTTGTGCTGATTAAAGAAGCAATAAAACTGGCCTTCTTGAGACTAGTTGAGTATCTGGACCATTAGCAATTGTGGGTTCGCTTACAGTATCAAAATGGCCAGAAACAAATAACTTTCTTCTGAAACTCGTCAGTCTATTCTTGTTCTGAGAAATGAAGGCTATTCCATGCGAGAAATTTCCAAGAAACTGAAGATCTCGTACAACGCTGTGTACTACTCCCTTCACAGAACAGCGCAAACTGTCTCTAACCAGAATAGAAAGAGGAGTGGGAAGCCACTGTGCACAACTGAGCAAGAGGACAAATACATTAGTGTCTAGTTTGAGAAACAGACGCCTCACAGGTCCTCAACTGGCAGCTTCATTAAATACTACCCGCAAAACACTAGTCTCAACGTCAACAGTGAAGAGGCGACTCCGGGATGCTGACCTAGGCAGAGTTGACACCACCGGTCAACAGATTAAGAACATGGATGTGTTTCTGTGTGTGTGTGTAGATCCTAAACCTAGAGGGTGAGTTGGAGTCCATGAAGACGAGGAATGAGTCTCTGGAGAATCAGATTCGTGATGCTGTGGGGAAACGCAAGAAAAAAGAAGAGACACTTCTGGTGAGTATTGCTACTTTCACAACAAATCTTTACTGTAGAAAGAAGCACGGCAGGTCAACACTCTTTTAGAAGTGGGCAACAAGTGAGTTCTTTCAAATGGACTTTAACAGCAGCTTAGAATTGGCTCCCTATGACCTAAAAGCTTGTGTGTGTTTCCCACAGGAGCGTATTGAGGGGCTGAAGCTGGAGCTGAAGGTGATGAAGGAGAAGATAGCTCTGCTGCTGAGGGAGTACCAGGAGCTGCTCAACGTCAAGATGGCCCTGGAGATTGAGATCACCACCTACAGGTGACCATCACACCTTCCCCAATATTCTAAACAGGCTTCTGCTCCTCTCGCGTCTCATCTCCTTCTTGAATAGACAGAAGTGGACAGGTGAAAGCAAATTCACAGTAGGACTCATCCATATTGCTTTCACCTATCCTGGGTTTGTCAGATCTGTGGAGGAGATGAAAAAGAGAAGAAAAGGAAAGGCAGCAACACAAGTCTTTTGATACGTTAGTAAGTGTACGTGTGTTTTCTCATGTCTACTCTGTGGCTGTGCATTTGGCCGGGCGCTGATCGAGGGCGAAGACACCCGTCTCATTACCATGGTACAGATCATGTCTCTGGGTGGCGGAAGAGGGGGCATGGCCATCAGTGCTAGCATGAATGCTAGCTCTGCCTCTGTTAGCGCTGCCTCTGGGAACAGGTATGGTGCCGAGCTGGGCGGAGCCCTCAGTAATGGACGTAAAGGAAATGGAGGCGACAAAGAGGCCCCTGATGGGGCGGTAGAGGTGAAATCAACAGAGAGCCAGACGGAGAGCTACGAGGAACAGTCAGTGGAGATGACTGAGCGGAAGACTCTTCTCATCAGGTCGTGCAAGCCTGGGACATAACCTCAATCATAACCTATGATCTATCAATAAAATATGAAATACCAGTAATCTGTTTTGTCATCTGAAAATATGCTAATGGTAGCCATTTTTGTATACATTTATGTCACCCAGTATCATTTTCTCTCAGAACAGTTAAGACAGAAGACATGTATGAGAGTGACACACAGGAACGCACCATTACCATCTCCGGAGCTGCTGACGACACAGACGAGGATTAGAGCTGGGAGTCCAGGCTCCTAACTACTACAACAGCTTAGGAGAATGTTAGACCAATACCCTTTAGACCTAAGCCCCAGCCCTTCCACCCTTGCCCCCACAAATGCATCCTACACCAACCCCCAATTATAATATTTTCTCTTGATATGGTCATTTCAGAGAGTATACCTGTATTTGGGTTATTCCATTCCGTTATAAGTCAATTAAGTTTATGTAGTAACACATGCCATTTATTCCATGTAACTAGAGGTTTTTTGAGAGGATACGAACTAAAAGAAATGCAGCACAAGTTTGATGTCAGTTTCACTTTCATATCTTTACTCTTGGTGTTCAACAATTACATAGCAGCACAGTCTTTCCAGTTGAGATCTGTTCAAAGCAGTGTAGTTACTCAGATATGAACGGAAATGCTAAATTGATCTACAATAATAACTGGTAATGTAAACACTTTTAGAATTACATGGGAATAGGACCAAACCAATACATTGACAGAGGATTAAGGTTGGGTAAAAAATGGGATTACAATTTTAACCTTGTTTAGCATATGCTCCCTTCACATTGACTGAAATCAATCACATTTTTCTGACTCATAGAAAATTAGCAATAATACAGTATTAAATGCTTTGGCACCCGATTAAAAAGGCTACAAAATGGACTGGACGTACAATCATGGGTTCAGGAAGTATGGTCATCTTCAGGAGATGACAGGAGTTTTCAATAGACTTAAAATTGCATAGTGTGTGTGTTTATAACGGTTTGGGCTCCTCTCCTACTCCTCCTGCGAGGCGGTACACTGCCAGGCTAACTTCATGTGCCAGGGCATCGGCACTCTCCTGTAACACACAGAAACACATCACCATTATCCCCATCAGACAGTGAGAGACAGAAAAAGAAAGTTAAAAGGCATAGTGAGTGAACAAGAAAAGGTGAATTGAGTGGATCACTATCACTCCATGTGTCCTATTAAAAGTAGGTTGTAGTCTCAGCATCTCAGTCCCACCTGTGTGTCTGCCTCAGCGTACACTCGGACCACATCCTCCGTGCCAGAGGGGCGGACAAAGGAGCGTGCCTGTCTGTACTTCTTCACCAGGCTGTCTATGGCCTCCTGCAGACCTGCTGGACTCACTGTTCTCCTCTCTGCATCTGTAGTGTCAATCACCCGCCGGTCTGCCACCTATAGGCCACACAACACTGCAACTGTGAGGCACTGGGATAAACGGTGTTAAAACATATGTACTAGATTTCTTTATTATACAGTCATTTATAGTAACATACGATGCAACTCCCTGAGTGCACACACACACGCACGCACACACAAACACACACCTTGACTTTGAGCTGTCTGTTGGGCAGGTCTGTGTAGATGGCATCCCATTGTTGTACTGTCATCCCTCTGATGGCTAACACAGCCTCAATCAGCAGCATGTCAGAAATAGCATCTCCTACTGTCTACAGAGAGAGAGAGAAAAAATGTAAGTAATGCACACAGGATTTGACCCTTCATTGCAATGACCGTGTGTAGTCCCCTGAATTGCTAAAAAGGTTGACTGTGGGTGTTTCTCAATATGCATACTACCGTGCTCCACACTCTCATGCGCCTAGTGCATTCTCAGAGGATGTTCTCTTGAGTACATTCTTGTGAGGACGAGAGTGTGGAGATCGCATAAAAACACTACCTTTGAGAAGCACTCACACTTCAACCTACAGTATTACCTCACGCTGCACCTCCCCCTCCCACATTGTCGGAACCTTCTTCCAGCCAGGACAATGGCAACAATAAAGACAAAACAAGATATACACAAAGCAAACGTTTTACTTCATAACTATCAGCTAGCTATATGTGAATAGTAATAATCTATCTTACCAGATAGTTTAATAGGCAAAAATGACTTAAAACTAATGTTATGCAAGGTAGATGTCAATTCTCTGTTGGTAGCTAGTTACCAATTCTGGCTAACAGTATTAGCTAGCCAGTTAGCCCTATTGACTTACTATGGGCTTGCGATCTACGCATTCTACAATGGGTATTGGTAGGCAGGTAAACATGCTGAAATTAACACAAAATGTATTTATTAAAAGGCCCAAAAACATGATTTTCACACTGAGGTTGGAATAATACTGTGAAATTGTGAAGATGATGATAATGCCCTTTTAGTGTAAGGGCTGAGACAGACCAATAGCGTTTGCTGGCCGAGAGTACTTAGCACCTCTGAATGTAATTTACAAACTGAGTGTGCACCAATTTTATATGTAGAATCGTGTGAAAAATGTCAGCAGTCAGACGTCTACAGCAGGTAGACACAGCGTGCTTAACGATCAGCAGACGAACGCTAGATCCACATTCTGTACGACGGTTTTGGTGGGATGGAGTTTTGGCCTGCCTGGTGACATCACCAGGTGGTAAATTAGTTAATAAGCCAATAATAATGGGAGTTCCAAACCTCTCTGCCAATAGATGGGTTGGTTGTTTAGCAATAAACCGATGCGTGCGCAACTATGGGACAAAACAGACAGGGTTGGCTTAGATTGTTGACAACATGTAAACTATATTTAATCTCCAATGTTTATTGAATAAATAAAGAATAACAACACATAGACTTCTGTCCCATTGAAGCACGCGCATAGTTTTTGTGATGTTCTCAGCTAAACCGTCTATAACAGCTAGTTTTCAGTTTTCCCCTCCCCATTCAGACCACTCCCAGACAGTCCTAGCAAAATTCTTGCTTGAGAATTTGCTCTTAGCTAAGAAGCTATTTTTGTTTCTTTTTGACCATTTTCATCGAAAGCAATGACATTAAGGTACTTAATTGTTACCCAGAAATGATTTGATATTGAGATAAAAATGGCAGGCAACATATGAGATGTGAATGGGCGTCATATTTCTGTCCATCCGAGAAGTGCCCGCCGTGCATTGATTTGGACTGACTGATGCATGCTCCAATTTCCGTACACGGAGCACGGTACTGTAGTATGCATATTGAGAGACACCCTGTGTTGACCTGACCATGTGCGGTCATACCTGGTTGATGAGGTTGACCGTGTTCTGCAGTAGGAGTGCAGCTCTCTTCCTCTCGTCGTTGGTGTTGGAGTCCTGGGCTAGCTGTTGGATCTTCTCCTCTGCTGCTTTACTGAACAGAACCTGAGACAGGACCGCAACACAACATAACCATAGTCAGACGGGCAGCCATTGATTGGGTGCTTTCAGTGTGAGTGTGTATGTGTATGTTGCCTACTCACTGTCCCGTGGCCATTAGCCTCAAAGTAAACACCAATGTCAAACTCCTGGGCTGCATGGTGAAGATGTTTCACTCCTGTCTTGGTACACCTCACTATCACCTGGGAGGAGGGAGGAGAGGTCAGCGCTGATAGCATGTGTGTGTTGGAAAGACTGAGGTGTGTGTGTGTGTGTGTGTCCACACCTTCATGGTATCTTCCAGGTATTGTGTGGAGCTGCCGTTAGCGTACGCTGTCTGCACCACGGCTATCTGCAGGTCAAGACCAGCCTGCATAAACCAAACACACACAGGGGGAACACAGGTCAGTGTGTGTGCACACTTCTGAATGAGGATGGTACTGAGTCTGTGCGTGTTATGTAGGGGCGTGTTTAAGCATCATTAATCTGGGTTAACCCAGAACTAAAGTATTGCGTAATTGGTCAGCTGCTCAATTAAAGTTCTGATTCCATACATGTTAAGAGATGAAGAGATGCTAGAATGAGGAGCAGAACTGGAACAAGTAGCTCCACCCTCTGTCTTCGCAAGTTATGGGCAAGTCTATGGGGCCGAATGTCACCTCCCCTTCCGAATTTCGAAAGATACTATACACCTGCGAAATCGTGATTTGTCCAAATAACCAGTGATGACAAACCCAAGCACCGGAACTATTGCTGCTCGTTAGCTAACGGTGCTCATAGTATAAAGACAGATCGACGGTACCACTTATGTTTACTGCAGTTTGCCCACCAGAGATGAAAGCATCATAGGTAAGTATAGCGACTGTGTGTGTGCATATACTTGTGTGAGCAGTTCTTTGAGGTAGGTGCTGATGAGAGTGGCAATCTTGTCTCCATCTAGCAGATGGAATCTCCCGGCAGAGCCGCTGTAGTAATAAACTATACGATCAGCATCGCCATCATAGGAACAGCAACGCTCCCCAGCAGTCATCTCCACACCTAGAGAGAGAGAGCGAGAAGGGTCAGAGCGAGAAGGGTCAGAGCGAGAAGGGTCAGAGCGAGAAGGGTCAGAGCGAGAAGGGTCAGAGCCATCCACTTCAGGAGTCTGGCTGTAGCCTACAGTATTTATACAATGTAACTCATTGAGATGTCTTCCCTCTGGTTGTCAAACATGGAAACTATAATATAACAATCCTGACTGTCCTTTATTTCATAATGAGATATAGCAGGTCTGTTTATGAGTCACCTGTAGCCTGAGACACACCCACAAGTCAAATTCCAGTTACAACACCACTGTGCATTTCGACACACCATGCGGTGAGTCCTACCTCAATAATAGTAGTCCTGTGTAGGTCAGTTGGTATGGTGCTTGCAACACCAGGGTTGTGGGATCGATTCCCACGGGGGACCAGTATGAAAAAAAAGTATGAAAATGTATGCACTCGCTACTGTAAGTCGCTCTGGGTAAGAGCGTCTGCTAAATGACTAACGTAAATAATATTAAGTAGCTTCCTCTCCTTGTTTCTTTTTCTTTCCCTTTGCAAGTGGATATTCTCCATTTAGCTTTCACTTGACTTACCCCATCTTTTCACAGCAATACAGATGCAGTGCAAATAAAATACAGAAAACTGGGCGAGGATGCTATTTGTGGTCTATTGAAATGTACACATGGAAAGAAAAAGAGACAAGGACAGGTCTAATGGGCTACAGTCGCACCTTTGGGAGCTCTCTGCTGTACTTTGACGTAGTCGGCTCCACACAGGTGGTTGAGTTTTCCGCTGGAGCCGTCGTTGAAGAGGGACAGCTGCAGCTCATTCTTCAGGTAGGTCTCCATCTCACACACCTTCAGAGCCCCGATACCATTAGCCCCGTCCACCAGCAGGGCCTTCTGATCATCTGTACGGTTAGGCACCTGGAGAGAGGGGTGGAATGGATAACATTATTTTTCATGAACAAGCAATTTTTACTGCTTGCAAATGTGCATACATGATTTGTAAAACAATATACATGCTTATAACCGCTTACAAATGTGTCTACGTGATTATAAATGTTAGAATACAAATGTTTTATTTATAAAGAGTTTAGTCATGCTTATTAATGGATGTTATTATAGTGTTAAAGACAGACAGAGAGGTGATGTAGTCTTACGTTCTTAGTGAGCTGGATGAAAGCCTGGGAGAGTTTCCGGTAGTAACCTTTGACAGTGGCTTCACCATATCGACCCTGGGTGTTCTGACAGCATACCATGTAGTGCAGCTGGGGTGTGGTCACCAAGCCATAGTCTGATAGACAGGGCGAGTTACCAATCAGTGATTTCCAAACAAGAAAAATAACCAACAATCAATCACATACCAAGGTGTAGTCTAATAAGAATGACATCATAGACAGCTAAGGTAACCTAAGAGTTAACGCACCTTTACTGTGGCCTCCCAGGGCGTGGACTCCATCCAGCACTGCCTGTGATAGGCTCTCACTACTGGGCCTGAAGTAACACAACCATTCAGATTAAACGTCTAAGGAGATATCGGAGTTGCCTGACGACTCAAACTGAATTCTTCCTCTGCTTTATGTTCGCTACGTAGTTCAGTCTGAAACTGCCATTGTTGAAGTCGTTTGTGGTTACGTCAAAATGTTGTACAAAGCAAAGTAATCAGCGATTGGATCATCTCTAACCAATCAGAGTATCAAAGCCAATGATGAATTTTCTAAACGCCGCTTTACCCACGTGTGTTCTGGCCCAAACCATTGGTTTCTGGGACCAATCAGAATGGTTTGCATTCATTTGCATCACCCGGTGCCCCATGTGGGCAGAGTTGACGTATTTAAGACCATTCCATTGGTCCTAAAGTGAAATCTCCACCCACCCAGGGCACCGGGTGACGCAAAAGGAACTCGCCCCCTGTTATATTGATAACCTGGTATATTCGTGGCTATAGTTTAGTTTCTAGAGAATGATAACATCCCAGTACCTGGTGTCTTTGCCCACAAACACGCTGGCCTCTTGGGCCATGCTGATGGCCTCTCTCTCTATAACATCCTTCAGAGCGGTGAGCAGACCCTCCTGCTCCGCGTTGGCCAGCTGGGTGGCATAGCCCTCCCACGCAGGGGTCACCATCTCCCCCATGGGATCCACCAGCTTCACCCCATTATCCTCCTGGAGAGGGGGTGATATAGTGGATGGGAAGGGAGAGGTGGAGAGACGGAAGGAAGGGGTATGAGAGGAATAGGAAGGGGTCGTTGTAGTATATTGGATAGTGAGGGAGGGAGATAAAGATGAATATTGGGATGTTGTGTAAGTCAGAAAATAAATAGTTTACCTGAAACCAAATCAATACTAGACAACCTTCCTCTAATAATATCTGAAAATCCACAGTGGCCCTGAGAGCACACCAGAATAGGACACCAGAGACTATCAGTTAAAGAGAGACTCTGAAGCAACACAGACACAGTGAATGATTAATAGGCTAGTGAATGCACTTCATGTTTTGTTCACCTCAGGGTTGTGTGACGCAGTGACCATGACTCCGATGGTGGCCTTAGTCTTCTTGGAGCGGAGTGTGGCCAGTAAACCCATTCGGAACATGACGTGGTCTAGCTGCTTAGCGTTGGTGCGGAACCCAGCAGTACCATACTGTAGGACCAACCCTACAGGCATAGGGTGGACAGCAGACTTCTGGGATACTTCCTCAAACTGGGCCATTCCTGAAACACATAACAGGGAAACAAAGGGGATGTCTTGATAGTCTGATGTGGGTTCCTCTCTTCAGCTCCTCTCCTTCATAACATGTAGCTTATAGTCTTCAAGAAGGGGCTAAACATTTTAGGAACCACAAAGAATCATCATGACCTGATATTCATTCTGAACACCTTACAATAATAACGATGACTGCCATATAGCTTTCTAAACACTATTACAATATTTGATCTGTCAATTTAATGAGGTGACTGAGAAAACATGTTCATCATGCATTCGTCGTTAATACACCATAAATCTAGGCCCTACTAGGGCATACTTTACGGGGCAAAGGTGTATCTGTGCTGAACATTGATGTCAACTAACATTAGCTAGCTAGCTCGCTAGCTAATGCAGAAACATAATTGAGCTCCTCTGACAGACTGATATGCAACATGCGCGCAGTGTAATTTACTTGTTACAAGATAAATAGACTACAGGCTATTCATTTCGAAATACTTACTAAACTGATCAATTGTTTTTATTTCACTTACTTGCAGTTGTTGAAGAAGAAGCTAGCAGGGAAGTGGAGTGAATGGAAAGCTTCCCGATTCTCCTAGCGACGTGGCTGCAGTTCAGGGTTCATCACGTGACCACGCCCTTCTTCTTCTTCTTCTTCTTCTTCAGTGGGGGTTTATCGGCGGTTGGCATCCAACATTATGGTGCATTACCGCCACCTACCGTACTGGAATGTGGGCCAGAGACAGGGAGAAACTAAATCCTACCGGCCAACCCCGTTTCTCTTAAAAAATATAAAATATTTGAGACTATATCTAATGACGTTCTGCTCAATATACTCTAAACTAATTTCCTGTATCCCCTTCTCCCTCATACTAAATCTCAACCTCTCTCTTTCCCTCTGATACTGCCCACACTGAAGCAATACATGTTCCACAGTCTCTATTTCCTGACAATAATCACTTTCCTGATGGATGCTTTCCTATCACGTTTAATGTCTTATTCAACTGGCTGTGTCCCACCCTTAATCTTGTAAAAACAGCCTCCTCTCTTCTGTCCCTTCCTGCCGTCCTCCCCAACTTTCCTCTGTACTTGAAATAAATGCCTTCCCTTATTATTTATATTCCACTGCTCCTGCCATATCTTCACCATCACTGTATATATCAGTCTTTTTGCCTCTGCCTTGCTCATTGACACTTCAACATCCCCACTACTAAGTGCTTGTTTAGCCTGTTTATCTACAGCCTCGTTCCCCTCCACCCCCATATGGGCTGGAACCCAAGTAAATCTTATCTGAATACCCATCTGTTTAATCCTGCCATGGGTTTGTAGCACCTCATAAAGCAGGTATTGTCTTCTACGTGAGCTAAAGGACTGGAGACTCATTAACACTGCACGAGTCAGAGCAAATAACTATTCTATCTGGCTTAACTTCCTCCACCCACTGCAAGGCCAACAGTACGGCCTTCAGCTCCACCGTATATACAGCCAGATTATCTGTAATACGTTTCCTGAATTCCACCCCACACTCCTGCACTACAAATGCTGACCCAGTACGTCCTGTCCTTGGATCTTTTGAACCATCTGTGTAAATGGCCACAAAATTCTGATACACAGTTTCCAGACGTCTCTTAAAGAAATCAGCTGGATCAACCCCCTCCCTATCTTTCTGTATTCTCTCCAACACTTCTAGATCAACTACTGGAGGCGGGAGTAGCCATGGTGGATTTACAGAAATAACTACTGTTGGACTAAACTCCCTTACCCACCCACCCAAAGCTTGTGTTCGGTCTTCGCTCATGTTCCCAGAATGCCTGTAAAATCCCTTTCGCAGTATGAAAATGTATGCACTCACTAACTGTAAGTCGCTCTGGATATGAGCGTCTGCTAAATGACTAAAATGTCAAATGTCAAATGAGACACCCCATGTCCTTGTAGGTTGACCCAATAATTTATTGCCAGCTGCTGTCTCCTAATCTGCAACGGCATATCCCCCATCTCCACCTGTAATGCAGCCACTGGGGATGTCCGAAATGCCCCACTACATATTCTGAGTCCTTGCCCTGTATGACATCTAGCCTTTCCAGTGAGGTCCGGGCTGCCGAACCATATACTATACTTCCATAATCTATTACAGATCGGATCAATGCAACATACATATGTCTTCAATGAGGAACGCCCAGCCCCCCCACTCCTTCCCGTCAGACAGCGCATCACATTTAGCACCTTCTTACACTTTCCCACCACTCTCTCAATGTGTTCTGCCCAGGTCAGTCTAGTTTCAAAGTATACCCCAAGGAACCTGAAGGCCCCCACCCTCTCCAAGTTTCTCCCATATAACCTCAAGCTTACCTCATCTCCCACCTTCCTCCTGGTAAAGAACACTGTTTGAGTTTTCTCTACAGAGAACCTGAATCCCCACCGCTCTACCTCATCAGTTGCTTCCTGTACCTTCCTGACTATGTATGGCACATGTCTTCCCCCTCTTCCATAAGGCACCATCATCTTCAAATAACGACCTCCCTATATCCGGCTGTACCTGAGAGTAAACATAATTGATCATGATTGAGAACAACAGAGGACTAATCACGCTCCCCTGCGGTGTACCATTATCCACCAAGTAGCTGCCTGATAAAGACTTCCCCACCCTCACCTGGGTAGACCTTCCAAACAGGAAGTCCTTTATCCAGTTGTACATTCTTCCTCCAAACCCCATAATATCAAGCTTGATTAACAACCCCTCCTTCCATATCATATCATACGCCTTCTCCACATCAAAAAAGACAGCTACAACAGTTTCCTTGTTCACCTGAGCCTTCCTGACCTCTGCTTCTAAGCAGAGCACTGGATCCATAGTTCCCCTACCCTTCCTGAACCCACTCTGATATGGTGTTACTAGCCCTCTGCTCTCCAGGAAGTAAGTTAGCCTCTCCGTAATCATAAATTCCATAATCTTACATACATGTGATGTTAAAGCTATTGGCCGATAGCTTGTTGGCTTCGTTGGATCCTTCCCGGGCTTCCGGATTGGTACCACTACTGCCTCCTTCCAACTGCCTGGTAGTTTCCCCTCCTCCCACACTCTGTTGTACAACACCAATACCTAATCCAGTGCCTCATCACTAAGATGGGCCAACATAACATAGCACACCTCATCTTTCCCAGGTGAAGTTAACCCACCCTTACCTATTGCTCTTTTCACCTCTGCCCTGGTAAATGGTGCACTCAACGCATCATTTACATCCTCCCTCCTTTCCAGCACTCCAGAATGCTCCTCTCTCGTGTTCTCTCTCCCCCTCTGCCCCTCCTCAGACAGATTTGCGGAGCTATGCACTTGGACAAATGCTTTGGCCATCATCTCTGCTTTCTCCTCATCCGTTACTGCCACATCCTCCCCACTCATCAACACTGGATAATCCCACTCCCTTCTGATCCCACTCATCCTCTTAATCATCCCCCACACTTCTCCCACAGGTATCGCCCTTCCAATGGTGTGACAGAACCGATGCCAACATGACCTCTTTGCCTGACGGATAGTTATCTTCACCATGGCCTGGGCCTGCTTATACTGAATCAGATGTTGGAAGTTATGCGTCCTTTTCAGTACTCTAAATGCCCTGTTCCTAATCCTCACCATTGCCTCACATTCCTCCGTCCACCATGGGACTGCTTTCCTCCTCCTCCTACCTGAACTCTTAGGTATAGCCTCAGTAGCTGCCCCCACTAACGCTGTTCTCACCCAGTTTTTCATACTATCTACATCCCCTCTCATATCCACCCGAGCCATCACCTGCTCACTCAGCTCCTGAAGCTGATCCCACTTTGCCCTTCCAAACACCCACCTGCCTACTCCATCCACTAACACCTCCTCCTCCCTCTGGCCTACTGTACATACAATGGGGTAATGATCACTCCCTACTGCCGACTCCTCCCATACCTCCCACTCACATATTCCTGCCATCGTACTAGATACCAGAGTGAGGTCCAAGGCAGACTCTTTCCCTGTGGCTACATCAATCCTGGTCCCTCGGCCATCATTCAAGCACACCAGATCTTTCCTTTCTATAAAATGTTCCATCACTTGGCCATTTCCATCCATCCGTTTCCCCTCCCCCCCCACCCAAAGCGTGTTGTGGGCGTTAAAATCCCCACACCACATTACCTTACTTCTTTCCTGGCCCTCCACCCTCTCCAGCACTTCCATTTCCAATATTTGACACGGATTATAGTAATTCACTACCACTAGCACCCCTCCTCTCATCCACACCTCCACCACCACATACTCCTGTTCAATACCTTTACCTATCATATTGTAGGGAATTCCTTGCTTTATGAAGGTGGCACATCCCCTCCCTCCCCCTATATCTCGGTCCCTACGAACCACTACATATCCCTGTATGATAAACTCCACTTTCGGTTTGAGCCATGTTTCCTGCACACAAATCACATCAGGCTTAGCTATCATATCAACAATGAACTGCTTGAATTCCTGCCCATTAGCCAACAGGCTTCGAGCATTCCATTGTACTACTACCACCATAACTAAGATCCAGTAATACATGACTCCACCATCGGCTGATTGAGGTCATCTCGAACCTCTTCCCATGTCAACCCTGTCATACTCAAATGTCTCCCAGAAGCTTTCACTATTAGTTTAATCCTCTCCATTTTAGACTCTACTTTATCAGTGCTATTGATAGCTTCTGCTATGAACGTCACCAGCTTTCTCTTTTCTATGTACATCATATCGCTGCCCACCTGCCCCGTAATCCCCAGTCTAGATGCTCCTACCCATCTCTCCCTTGAACCTGTATCTCCCGGACATGGACCACCCTCGCTGCCTCAGCATATGACACCCTTCTCTCCTTGATCACCCTCACTGCCTCAGCATATGACACCATTCTCTCCTGGACCACCCTCGCTGCCTCAGCATATGACACCCTTCTCTCCGCTCTCACTTGTTGCACCTCCACTGCCTTCTTCATAGCCTCACACCCACTATATGCCACACTATGAGCACCCCCACAGTTGCAGCACTTTGGTTGTACACCATCTCCACACTTCCCATACTCATGCTTTCCTCCACACCTGGCACACCTCTTTTTCTCTTTACAGACTGTTGCCACATGCCCAAACCTCTGCCATTTATAACATCTTAAAGGCTTCGGTACATAACAATCCTCACATAATAACTCATATATCCTGTTGTTACCTTATTTGGCAGTATCCGGTCCTTAACATGTAACAGAATATAAGTGCTATCTACCCTATCTCCACCCCTTGTTGCTTGCAATCTGTGTACATTCACTAGAACGCCTCCTCTCAAATTGTCCCTTACCTCGTTAGTGCGAACACTCACAGGCACTCCTGTTATCACCCCTTTACTCCACTGCTTCCCTGCTTGATCAGTCCAGCTGCTCGACTCCACCTTACACTTCCCTATTTGCTTCACTCCGATAGCTTTTTCCCTCTGCGCCATGTCCTTACAGCACACCAACAATCTCCCATCTCTTGACACTTTAGCATTAACAACTTCCCCAATCAACTATTTTATCACAGCAGTCAACCTTATCGGACTCATCGCCCCAACTCCCCCTTCCTTCCTAAACTTCCTAATCACTTTATGCTCCTCCTCACCTCCATGTTCCTCTCGTGTCTTATCTT